AGAACCAAGAGAGATTATGTAAAGGTGCAAATTTCCAATGATGAATGTCATTATATTGTATACCTAAAATGTACCAATGATTAAAATGAAAATTTCATAATGCAAAATAGGAAGAAAAAGTCCAAAGGGGTAGGGGAAGTGGGAGGGGTAGGGGAAAGGAACGAAGGGAAAGGAAAAATGATGAGAAATGGAAAAAATGGAAACAAAGTCTTTGTAAATAAGGAAGGATGGAGGGGGTGAAGGCAGGTCTGGGAATGGGGAAAAAAATAAGAACCAACATGCATCATGTAAAGGTACAAGTTCCCAATGAGAAATGTAAATGTATTGTATACCTAAAATGTACCAATAAAAGAATTTAATAAATAAATAAATAAACAAACAACAAATGCTAATGATTGGAGAGACGAATACTTGGAGGATTCTGTTTAATGCCCCATCACAATTTTGGATGAAGGTTACAGCTCAAAATGTGACTTGTAATGAGATGTTATGTTGGGGCTCTATTGTATGTTTTTTGCCTCAAAAAACTAAGTTAAAAAAAAAAACTAAGATATTGTGTGCTTTTCATGTATTACCTATATAGTTCAATCTGGTTATTTTATGCTACCACCAATAGAAGGAACTCATATTGATGATAAAAATGTTACCTATTCTTTACAAGATTGTGTGTTAACTGACCAAGGGCCAAACTGTGATGGCCTTCTCCATAAAATGGAACCTTGTTTGCTGCAACATTCTGTAAACTTATGTATTCTTACTTTATATCCTGTATCTAATTTTTCTGTTCTTTATGAAATTGAAACACAACATGTTTGTTTCGCCAGCAATAATGTTACCAAATTAGGCCTAATGAGATTATCTGCTCCATTCTCTGGGTGTCTGCAGCACCTAGAGATCCTTTACTGGAATGGGGATGTTTTCTTCTTGTCTCCTGATCTGGTGAATGATGTTCCTTTAACTTCGGTGCCCAAACCTCTTCCTGTCCCCTTAATCTATTTACACTTGACCTCTTTAAAATCTATAATTCAGGAATCTCAACTTTTGGATAAACATTTACAAAATAATCAAAAAGCCTTAAATAAGCATAGATTACAAGCTCAAATAGTGGCTGGAGAGTCACAAGAGATTTCTCATATAATAACTCTAAGATTGTAATCACCATTAATATGACTTTATTTCAAAGCAGTACTGCTAAATTATATTTTTCTGCTATCTTTACTCCTTTATTATGTACCATTATTGTGTTATTGTGTTTACTATGTATTTGTAACTGTTGGATGTACATCAAAATATGTACCAGGTACCACCACCTTATAGTTAGCACCCTTTCTGTCTACATGAATCTTCATAACTCTAGGGCCAAAATGAAGGGATCATGATAGTAAAGAGTTAAATCAGATTCCTGTGACCGAAGAATGACCCTGATACATGCCTGTTCCTTGGAGGATTGGCTACCCTCCACAGAACAGGAGATATTGATATAGAGTGGAACATTTTAAGAATGGAATTTGGCCCCAGCTCCTAGCCAGATTCAGGAAGTTGAAACATTGCACCAAGTTGGGTATGGCTATTGGCACAGGGCCACCTTTGTCTCACATGGTATAAAAGTAACAGCAGTGGAAGCAAAAGAGAAAGAGAGAGCTGCTGTACTGGACTATTCTGCAAGTTCCATCCCAGAACGGAACCTTGTTGCGGCGAGCGTTGCTTCCCAATCTGGTGATGTATTGTACCTTATGTTTGACTTTCTAATTCCCTGTGTTTTCTTGATCTTTTCTTTCATTCCATCAAACTATCTATTTCAAATCTTAGAGTGGTATATAGTAGCTTTATTCAAGGATTGAGCCCCAAAATCTGATTAAAGGTGGACCTCCATTGGCAAATTTACCCTGTCAACACAGATGTTTAAATCAAAATGCAAACATAAAGTGATCTAACAATTTTACAGCACAGATGACCACCAATTTATCTTGCATATGGGAGAAGAAAGAACCTTGTATATGGGAGAAGAGAAGAGCCATCCAAAATATGTGCATACAAGGAGGAAGAGCTAGTACAGAATGACAACATGCACATAAAAAGAAATGGGGAGCCAGGCATGGTGGTGTACTCCTGTAATCCCAGCACTCTAGAGGCTGAGGCAGGAGGATCGCCTCAAGTTCAAGGCTGGCCTGGGCTACATAGTGAGCCCATCTCAAAAACCAAAAAACAAAACAAAAAAATGAAATGGAGATTGGAGAACAAAAGGAAAGGCTGTCCAGCAAAATGGTGTGCGCACGCATGCTCTCTCTCTCTCTTTCTATACATATATAATTTGTATATTATATTATATATAATTATATAATAAATATATTTACATATATTTATATCTGCTAATGCTACCAGAGTACATAGTTGGATTATAACCTTTTAGCATTGTAAAGGTGGTAGCATTAACTAAGACCCATAAACTAAAATTCAAAAAAATAATTTAACACAAACAAAAGTTACAGTATTATTTCCTACATACGTTTATATATTATTTTCAAATCATGATATAATCAGGCCCTAGAAACCAGAAATACAGCATTAGGTACTACAGGCAGGTATCCATAGGTTCTGTAATCACACAGACTTTAAAGAATCTCTGAAGAGGTAACAGATTTATTCAGTGTCTTAGTTACTTTCCTCATTGCTGAGACACAATACCCAACACCCACAACTTAAAAGGCGAGAGGTTTATTTTGGTTCGTGATTCAGTCCATGGTCAGCCAGCTCCAAAGGACAAATACCATGGCAAAAAGGCATGGCAGAGGAAAGGGTGCTGACCTCATGGCGACCAGGAAGCAGAATCAAAGATACATCCTTCCAGGTCATGCCCACAGTGACCCATCTCTTCCAACCAGACCCCATCACTTAAGAAGTTCATTATAATGCCCCATAACCCAATCACCTTCCAAACACATGAGGCTTTGGTACCATTTTCAGTCTAAACCATAACATCTGGGCTCTAAATCTATTTTAAACACAGAAATGTCCACCTACAAAATTAAAAAGAAACTGAATCTTCTGTGTATTCCAGGCCATGACTTATCAATTTTCACAGAAACTCTATGAGGAATGTATTATTAAATTAACAGACAACTCAGTTGAGCCTTAAGAAAGCCAAATATCAAGGCCGGGGATTTAGCTCAGTGGTTTCGCCTCCTGCTGCACAGGAGTTCGATCCCCGGTACCAAAAAAAAAAAA